CCCAGCACGAGCCTGGCCGAGGGCGGCGCCGGCAAGTTGGTCGGCTCCAGCGCGACCCTGCAGTACGGCAGCCGTGCGGCGTACATTAAGGGGCTGAGTGACGTCGTCGACCGGCCAGTGCTCTCGATGGTGCGCGAGTTTACGCGCGAGATGAGCTGGACCGACTGGAAGGGCGTCTCTTACACGCTGAGGGGAGAGTGGGAGTACGTCACCGGCCCCGCCGTTTGCCGCGACGATTGCACGCCCGGCCGGCGCGATGCCCTAAACGACGGCAAGCTGCCCGCTACCTTTGTCGAAGAGGTCAATGCCTTCATCAGGCAGCGGCGAGAGGAGTCGAGCGAGATCCGCCAGCGGCTGGCGGACCAGTTCGCGTACCTCTCTCTGGACGAGGTCCTCGCCGTGCGACTCTACTCCGGGCCCGCCTATCAGGTCATCAACGGCTTCCTCCGCCAGGTAGCGCATCTGAGCGGGTCGCACCGGCGCGCGCTCGTCGGCGACCTCGGCCTCACCTTTGCCGCGACGATTGGACACATCGTATCGGCCATACGCAAACTTGCCGCCGCCGCCACGCGCGAGGAGTCGACGCGCAAGCTGTACCGCGGCGTGCGTGGTGAGCCCCCGCGCTTCATGAGCACCGATTCGCTTCACGTAACATGCATTCCACTGTCTGTGCCAGGCGAGCTTGCGCGTGGCTTCTGGCTGAAGGACTCGATGGGGGGCGCGACGGACACTGCCTTCATGTCGACGAGCCGCAGCCGTGCCACGCCCATTGACTACATGGGCGACGGCGAGAACGTGTTATGGGAGCTCGAGCCGCGCGAGGAGAGCGACACGGCCTTCCACTGCGGTGCGGACATCTCCCTGCTCTCGCAATTCGCCGCAGAGGAGGAGGTGCTCTTCCCTCCCTGCTGCCTCCTCGTGGTAAAGGCCCCGCCGGAGCAACCGCCGCCGGCTGTCACGGAGAAGGGGAGGCGGTTCGTCGCCGTGGCCGTGCAGCCCTCATTTGTGTAATGATTGACAATTTTCTCGCCGTTTTTGCGCAGCGGCGCCGGAGGGGCATGGGATCACGCGGGCCCTGTCTCCTGTCTGCAAGCAGCAGTGCTAACTACTGACGAAAACGACAAAATTCCGGATGGACCGGAGAGTGTCTACTCTCTCGACGCACCGTCCTCGGGCCCCTCGAAAAGCTGGCTGGTGGTCGCGCGCGGCGCGTCGGCGCGGCTCCGACTGATCGGGCACCTCGGCTGGGTCCATCGGCACGAGGCCAGCCCCGTCGGGCAGCCCCGCGAGCGCATGTAGCCCCACCCCATACGCTTGACGCCCCGCCCCAGATCGCGCTGTTTGGTACGAAAATCACAAGGCGCCAGGGGGGGGGGGTCAAGTATGGTACCCTAGACTCGCCCGAGGCCAGGCGCGTCGGGGATGGGCTCGTAGGCCACGTCGAGGGGGAGACCCAGGCGGCGCTGCACCGAAAGACGCATCGCCCAAGTCTCCATTCGCATATCATCCCGCATGGGGATGGCGTTGAGGAAGGCGCCGGCGCCATCCTGGCTCACCGCCACGAAGCGGACTGCCTCCCGCCAAGCCGCATGCTTCGCCCGCTCCCTGCCCTTGGCCTGCGCCTTGCCATTCCCCGTCTTCCTCCTCCCGCGGCATGGGAGAGCCGACCTTGCGGAGCCCTCCTGCCTTAGCTCGAGGGCGATCCGCCGGCTCTCCCGCCACGTCGCCGGGGACGTCGACCTGCGGCGCGCCTGGGAGAAATTAACTTCGACTGGCCAGCAGCATCGAACGAGCCGAACCAAGGCACGCGGGCGACGCACTTCGTTCGCTACGAGGAGGTACAATTAGGCAAGGCAGCTGCGCAAGTGATGGTCCTGTTTGCAGAGAAAGGAGTCAAGGAAGGCAAAGAAATCACATGGTCATATGGGGACTCATACAGGAGCCACCGCAAGGAGATGGGATACAAGGCGGGGACGAGGGCGAATCCGAACGCAATAACACCCCAGCAAGCGCGGACGGCATTTGCTAGATACTGCAAAAAGATAGACGTGACGAAGGAGGAGCTAGCGTGGAACTTTGGATGCATATCGGCAAAAGCCAAAGTAACGAGCAGGAGGCTGTCCTGGTGCGTGAGCTAATCCTGAGCAACAATAAGCGACTGTACCACGGAGCACAGAGCGCAACAGACAGGACAGCGGCGACAGCGGACACGGCAGAGACGAGTGTGAGACAAAGGGCGGCGGGGATGGAGTGCGGTAGCGACGGGGATGGCGACGGTGACAGTGGCGAGGGAGAGGAAGGGGTCCATTAACACCAGACAGCGCGAGAGGGGCAGGGAGGAAAGGGGGAGAGAAGAAGACAACGCGACGTGCGCAGAGGATGAGGATATAAACTGGGACGACGCAGCGGGGGGGATAGACGAGGGAATCGAGGGACCGGAGGGCTTTCGCGACAGCGACGATGACGACGAAGGCAGGGGAGGGGACGGAGGGGCGACACGCAGGAGGAGCGAAATCGCGAACGGCCCGAGCAGAGAGGGCGACGGCGGGGCACGAGGGAACAACGGAGACGCTACCGATGACGCGAACCGAGGCACGGACGACGGAGGGGACGGGGAGGGCGACAGCGACGTCGAGGTTGACGCAACCGTATCGAGAGCGCCACCCAAAAGGAGGCGGACAGCCATGGAGGTCACCAAATGGAGGGCGAACGGCACGATACGAAAAGGCAGGGCGAGGCGGATGGAGAAAGAAGTACCGAGGAGGCCATGGTGGAGGGGAGGGACGGGAGGACGAAAGAAGGGCGAGGAGGATGAGCGGCCCGCACAGACCGCGAGCAGACAGCGCCTGCTGGCCACTTCGAGACATTCGCAAAGAACGCTAGCTACATGGGAGCCCTTCGTGAAGGGGATGGATTGAAATACATTCGAACAAAGAAGAGGCGACGGGAGGAACTTCCGGAGGATGCAGTGACGTGACACACACACACACACACACACACACACACACACACACACACACACACACACACACACACACACACACACACACACACACACACACACACACACACACACACACACACACACACACACACATACACACCTCACCCACGCGCACTGGGCCTTGCACTTTGAATGCCGTGGGGCTCCTGTCGTTAGACGTGGAGATGCGAGGGTTGCCCCCCTTGCCCCACCATCTCGAATCTCGTGTGTGTGGAGAAGTTTACCTTAGTTACCTTACCTGCATCGAACTCGGTCTCAACACATCCGAGGACGCATGGAGGGTTTCTTTTTCCTTATTCCCCAACCCCGATTGTTTGGCGTGCGATGGGACAAGAGTGTGAGGAAGCGTCACAGAGGTTTGGAGTCGTTGGTTCAAGAGCGGGGAGAGGAAGGAAGCTAGTGGTGGAAAATTTGACTTCGAGTGTTTCAATACTAATGGATTCCTGCCAGTGCAAAAATAAGATCGGGAGTGCGCGACAAGATCGCACAAATAGAGAGAAACCCTCATGGTTCTTCTAACTCTTTCTACTGCGTGAATAGCAAGATCGCGTCATGCTCGTTCCTCCCGGTAGATAGCAGCAACTGTGCGACCGTGTTCCGGATTCGAGGCATGCCGGTTTGGGCTAGGATTTGGGCTGACTGGGTGGTGTCGGGCCGGGCTCCGCCACATCGCAGGCTCTCGCCGCACTGGGGGCTTGCTTGAGAGACCGGTGAGGACCTCTTCGTGAGGACCTCAATATTTGTGAGGAGCGACCTCCTGCGCCTCAGCCTGAGGCAGCTCTCGACTCACAGTCTTGCCCCTTCTCGATGCCTTGCGCTCGCACGCCTCTGTGCTTGCTAGCCGACTGCACAAACTGGCTCCCGTGCGTGTGGTGAGTGCAAAGCGGGACAAGGTTTCATCCCGGAGGCGGAGGGGACACTCTCGGGGTGAGGACCTTCACAGTGAGGACCTCTCGCTGTGAGGACCTCTGAGCTTGGCCCGTCTCCACACAGAGGGCTTAGCTACGCCTGGTGCCCACTCCTCTGAAAAGCAAGCAATTAGCACACTCCCATGCAACGGCGTGGCCGTTGGTGTCGCAAGGACACGCGCGGGCGGCGCACAGGCCGCTAGAGGGTGAGCTCTCAAGTCGCGATGAGTAGCTGCCTCTATTTATAGTCGTAGGTAAGAAGAGACGAAGAAACACTTGTCTTCACTTCTTGTAAAGTGCGCTTGCTCGCCATCTTTGTGATGTTTCTCTTGTGTTGTATAATTCCCAGCAGATTCTCCGTGCCACTTCACAGACTCACAGACAGTGCTTACACAGAGCAGACCGAGGGTGGACCGAGGGTGCCGGCTGCGTCCGTCCGATACCGATTTCATTTATGCCGACCTGGGTTAGGATTGGGACTGGGTCGTTCGGGCCGGGCTCCACCATCGCAAGGAGGCTCTCGCCGCGCTCGGGGCTTGCTTGACCGTCGGGGACCTCTGTGTGGGAGGGGGGGCACTGTTGAGCCTCTTCGTGAGGACCTCCTGCGCCTCAGCCTGAGAGGCAGCTCTCGAGACTCACCGCCTTGCCCCTTCTCGATGCCTTGCGCTCGCACGCCTCTGTGCCGGCTCGACTGCACAAAGTGGCTCTCGCGCGTGAGTGCAAAGCGGGACGATCGGAGTTTCATCTCCGTCTGAGGGAGGCGGAGGGGACCTCGAGGTGTGAGGACCTTCGCAGTGAGGACCTCTCGCAGTGAGGTCCTCTGAGAGGTAGGACCTCTGTGAGGACCTCTGAGCTTGGCCCGTCTCCGCACAGGGCGTATAGCTAGCTACGCCTGGCGCTCCTCTGAAAGCAAGCAAGCAAGCAGCAGCAAGCACCCCCCAACAACGGCCCCCCCCCGTAGGGGATTTTGGTTGGTGTCGCAAGGAAACGCGGGCGGCGCACAGGGACCGCTGGAGTGAGTCTCGAGTCGCTCTGTGTGCTCTTGATCGTTGTAACAAAGCTACCCTTGTTGAGTGCAGCTTTCGGTGATGGTCTCAGGCCCAGTGAGGTAGTGCATCCGGCTACTCCGGATCCTGCTGAACAAGCTCCTCGCTTGTAGCTCGATCGGTCACACCGCCGGCGCTGCTTGCAGCGCTCTGGGTGGTAGTCCTTTTCTTCTTTGTGAGCCGTTGTAAAAGAAAGAAAGAAAACAACAACCCAAGGGAGGGATGGGAGAACGGCACGCCGCCACCACACAGGGATTTTAAGGAGAGGAGGGTGT